AAAAAAAAAAAAAAAAAAAAAAAAGAGGGCAGAGCCAAACGATCGGCGACGAAGCAGACGGTGATTATGTAAGAACAAGAAAATTCTCATCTTCTTTTTTTTTTTTAATTCTTCCATTAAGCTTTGATCACTTTCTTCGTAGATTCTCTTTACTGGGTTTTGCAGTAACCATTTCTGGGTTCTTCCTCTAGGGTTTTTCCCCTTTTCTTCTAGCTTTCTTTCTTTATATTTGGGGGGGTAGAGGAAGCGATGATTCGATGGATTTCGAGTTTGGATTCATCTGGGTGTTGATTTTCTTCATCGGTTTTGGATTCAGAAGCTGAAACTTCTTGGAAATTTGACTCTTGGTGTTTGAATTTGTTGATTTAGCTCCTCTTGTGTTCATCCTTTGCAATTTCAGATTGAAGAGAAACTGTTATCTGGGTTTTGAATTTCAGCCGAAAGGGTACCGATCGACGGACAGAAGTTGAAAACTTTCCAATCTTTTGATGAAGATCGAGTTTGGGTATCATCAATCTGTGTATGCAGCGACCGATCATCGGCATCTTTAAGAGAACGAAACTAGGGTTTAATCCGTGATCTTGCCGTCGGATTTGCGGGTTTTTCCGTGTGAAAAAGGATGCAGAGAGTTAGGGTTTCTTCACAGAGAGGAGCTGTCCACAAGCTTGGTGATTCTCAGATGACATTATCTCCTAAATTTAGGTTAGCCATGGCGTCTCCATCGACTTTGCTGGACACTTCACTGGAATTAGAACTCTCCCTGAAAGGCGAACCCCTAATCCCGGGCCTCCCCGACGATATCGCCCTGAATTGCCTCCTTCGGGTCCCCGTCTCGAGCCATTTATCGTGTCGAGCTGTGTGCAGGAGATGGCATTTCTTGTTCTGGACGAAAGAATCGTTCTTCACCCGGCGGAAGGAGCTCGGGTTTAACGATCCATGGCTGTTCGTCTTCGCTTTTCAACGGTGCACGGGCAAGATCCATTGGAAGGTTCTAGATTTACGACATCTTACTTGGCATGAGATCCCTCCGATGCCCTGTAAGGACAAGGTCTGTCCTCACGGATCGAGATCGGTCTCGATGCCGCGGGAAGGTACTCTCTTTGTCTGCGGCGGAGTGGTATCCGACATGGATTGCCCTCTCGATTTGGTGGTTAAGTATGAAATGGACAGAAACCGGTGGACTGTCTTGGACAGTATGCTGACTCCGAGATCATTTTTTGCGAGCGGGGTGATCGACGGGATGATATACGTAGCGGGCGGGAACTCGGCTGATCTATTCGAGCTCGATTCAGCCGAGGTTATGGACCCTTCGGACGGGAATTGGCACCCGATTTCTCAGATGGGCACGAACATGGCCTCATACGATGCGGCTGTCCTGAACGGGAAGCTTCTCGTGACGGAAGGGTGGCTATGGCCGTTCTTCGTCTCGCCTCGAGGTCAGGTTTACGACCCGAGATCCGACAGCTGGGAAACCATGGCGGTCGGGCTGAGGGAGGGCTGGACAGGGTCGAGCGTCGTCGTGTACGGACGGCTGTTCGTCGTGTCTGAGCTCGAGAGGATGAAGCTGAAGGTTTATGACTCGGATTCTGACTCGTGGGAAACAATCGAGGGGCCGGCATTGCCGGAGCAGATCTGTAAGCCCTTCGCCGTTAACTCTAACGGTAACAGAATCTTCGTGGTTGGTCGGAATCTCCACGTGGCGGTCGGGAATATCTCGCCGGCGGTGAAGAACGATGATGGCGGGAAGTTGGGTTTCAGCGTTTGGTGGGACGTTGTGGAGTCGCCGGAAAAGTTTTCCGATCTGACGCCGTCGAGCTCTCAGATCCTGTTTGCTTAGGAGACAATGTCATATGAATAAAAGAACATACAATGGTTGTAACTGTGTATTCATATGTATGAATTATGTGTAATTGTGTGTTTAAATACTCAATAATCAATGTATTAATATTCGCAAATTATCATAACTTAATGATTTTGTTTGCTCTTTTAACAATTTTATATAATTTTTTTAGAAAATTAATAATAGGGCAAACTCAAAATATACCATCACACGAAAACAAGCTTATATTTTAAATTTATTATAAAATTATATCAACTACTAATTTTTTAATAAAATACCCGTCAAATAACTAACTTATTTTTTTTTAAACATCTATTTCAAATTTATAATAAAAATATACAAACTTTTAATTTTAAACCATATAAATCATATTTTTATTTTATTTTTAAAATCTATATTAGCTCTTATATAATTAATTTGTATACAAAATATAGCTTATATAATATTTTATTTATTATTTTTTTATATAAATATTAAATTGATAATTTGCATTAGAAGAAGGGAATAATTAATAATTCCACATAAATAATAAAATTTAGCATCTTCTCTAATTTTGGGACAATATCACAGTCGCTGAGTCGTAGCCACGAGAGAGAGAGAGAGAGAGAGAGAGAGAGAAGACGTAGTGAGAGAGAGAGGGAGATCTGCAATGGCGGCGATAACGACCGCGGTGATCGCCATCGCCGGAGTGATTCTGGGATGGATAACCATTGAAATCGCGTGCAAGCCTTGCCTGGAGAGAGGCCGAGAAGCCATCGATCAATCTCTCAACCCCGATTACGACCCCGACGACGATTCCTCCGCCGTGCGAGCGCCTCTTCTCGCCAATCCTCAACCGGAGCACTCCGATCCATCCGACGCCGCCGGTGACGGATCCTCCTCCGATCCCTCCACCGCGATCAAGTCCATCTGACCGGAATATCCGGTTCAGGATGCTTCGTGCTTGCCCCTCGATTTCTCGGTATTTACCTGAATTGCCATCCATCTTAATTCGTGTTTTCGTGCTTTGTCTATGAGCTGGGACCTACATTTGCGCTGATTCGGTAATCGATGATTGTGTTATTTTCCTTGAATGAAGGAGAAAAATGAATCAGTATTTTGCACTTTTAATTAATTAATTAATCACATGAATGTAATTACATTTGGGTTAATAATGTGGAATAATCGGAATTAATTTTGCAAAGTTCAAATATTTTCTCTTTAATCGTAAATCTATCACTTTCCACAACTTGGGTTAGACGTGGATATCCAACCCAATGGATCTGCTAATTTCGCGGCCATCCAAAACTCGGAAATCCGACCGACAACGATGCGAGATCGGGTCCTTGGCCGGCATGAATACGGGTTCGAGAACAGATTCCGTCCGGCGAAAACCCGAATCCGTGGATAATTCGGGGAGAGGGATAGGGAGAGAGAACGGGGCCGAGAGGTCATGCGTGGGAGCAGGGATGGCCATTTTGGGCTGGTTATATTCGTGTTCGGTTATATTTCGATTCGGTTTAGATTCGATTTTTTATCGGTAAAAAAACTCATTTCTTCAAAGAAATTTTCAATTTTTTTAGTTTTTTTTTATTCGGTTCGGATTCTGTTTTTCGGATTTAAAGAAGTTATAACCATTCGGTTTTTATGTCGGATTCGATTTGATTACAGTCATCTCTTATTCAATTCGATTCGATTATTCAGTTAATAACCGATACGATGCTTAGGTCGATTAGACAAAGCTCGCGAGCGTCGATTCGACCATCGGTGCGCTAGCTGGTCTGACGAGTGGCCTTGCGGAACACTAAACCATCAGGGTTTCGATTTCGCGGCCCGATATCATGACCTGACCCGATTTCGATCCGGTTTTTGTTTATTTTTTAAACGAAAGGATTGAACATTTCGAACAAATCTTAGACGAAGATAAACCAGAGAGCGAGATTCAGATCAAATATCCTAAAAACTCGGATATTCGATCAGTATCCATCACTATTTCTAGTTTTAGAGTGTTGATTGTGGAATTAAAATCAAATGAACATAATTAGCGTATAAATGGAAAAAGGCCCAAAGGCCCAAACTTACATATATACATGGGCTTCAATGAATCGTTGAGAGTAAGACTAGTGACGGTGATTTGCCATATTCATTTTTCTTTTTTGTTATCAATTTTTATTCATTTATAATTTTATAGATTATTCGAGAGAAAAATTTCGTTTGAATATGCCAAATAAAAACGGAGAAACATAATTAATCCGAAATAAAATGGGTTGAATATGCAAAATAAAATCTGAATTAAACCAAAATATCGATCCTAAAAAATACGTAAAATTCATTTATTAGTGTGAGCTATCTCCTATGTTTATGGATAGATATCTATATATATATATATATATATATATATATATTTGATGTGATCAAGTTGAGGGAAAATGTCTGAAAGCAGCAAAATGGGATGTGGATAACAGCCTAAAAGGCAAAATTAAAACACAGATTATGGGAGCATACTTTAAGATTATGTCTGTTTTGTAAGTCCAATCTTATCGACACTCTTAATCAAAACCAATAAGCATCCTTGCTTTTCATTCCTCTCCACCTTGCTTATCTTATCATTACACGGGCGCACTCACATGTATGTATGTATGCATGTATGCATGTATGTATGTATGTATGTATGTATGTATGCATGTATGCATGTATGTATGTATGTATGTATCTTTCAGGCATAAAGATTAATTTACACAAAAATATAGATAAAGACACACGAATCTATATTCTATTTTTCTATCAAATTATCACTGTTCCCGTAATATATGAAAAACCACGTATTAATACACGAATTTGTAAAAAAATCACAAATAAATACACAAAATTTAAAATTTATAAAAAAAAAAAAATTACACGAACTCTCTTTAAATTCAACATTAAAAACCTAAACTTTTTTAAAAAAATTCAAAAACCTCATATCATGTTGGTATTTGAGAATCATCTAAAAATTTAGGATTTAATTTCATGGAGATTTTAGAGAATAATTTAAAAGTTCATGATTTATTTCATTTTTTTTAAAGTTCAGAGTTTAATATAGAAATTAGAAAAACTTTCTGCATTTATTTGAGATTTATAAAGTTTACATATTAATACATGATTTTCCCATATATATATATATATATATAACTTTGGTTACTCTATTATACCAAAAAAAAACTTTGGTTACTCTACGATAGCACATGCATGTCACGCACTTGACGGAAAAAAAAAAGGAAATAAAGAAACGATTAAAAAATATGGTTAAGTACATTGAATGATATATACGAGAAGATGGAAATGCTTATGCATTTGCCCTAAAGACTTGTTATTATATTAGAGATATATACGAATCTCTTTAATAATTTATATAGGATAGAAGCTCTTCGTGATTTGATGTAGTGGTAAAATAACGTATGATTCTCCAAAAGGTAATCAGTTCGATTTTACTCTTCATCGAATATGTTTTACGTTGTTTGCAAATTATTACGTGGAGTCGAGGGTTTTTCAATGTGTTTGAATGACTATGGTTGAGTTTCCACCGTTAAAAAAAATTATATATGATAAAATCCTAAGGAAAAAAAAAAGAAAAAAGGAGATCTTTTTTCTTAATGAAGAGGACCCTTTTCCAAGAAAAAATTTCTAATGGTGAAGATAGTGAAATAACCATATATTTTACTATGTTGAATCGAGGACCAAACGGAATTAGAACCGGTCTAAACCATCCTCACACTCTTATAGTATTGTGTATTTTTATGAATTCTTAATGATTGATTATTTCCTAAAAAAACGAATGGTATTAGAAGAAATTGGGTGTCAAGTCATTGATGATTCTCCCATACATACATACATACATACATACATACATACATACATACATACATACATACATACATACATACATACATACATACATACATACATACATACATACATACATACATACATACATACATACATACATACATACATACATACATACATACATACATACATACATACATACATACATACATACATACATACATACATACATACATACATACATACATACATACATACATACATACATACATACATACATACATACATACATACATACATACATACATACATACATACATACATACATACATACATACATACATACATACATACATACATACATACATACATACATACATACATACATACATACATACATACATACATACATACATACATACATACATACATACATACAATCATTTAAGCTATCTCCAAATACTACATTTTCACATGTGTTAATTAATTAGTCCGTTAGGTATTGCATGATACGTATGTACATGCATGTACGTATCGAGTCAAGCTATATTTGTGTACGTATATATCCACATGTACATGCACGAGCTGTGTTTTCATCATCTTTACCGACATGCATGCAACTTGAGTTGAAGTGCTTTTGAACATGGTAAGATAAGAATGATGGATTGACCATGACATGACATGACATCATATATACATATACATGTATTATGTTACGTTATCTTTAAATTACCCTTTACATTTTTAGATTCATTGTTTGGAATTAAAGCAAGGGACGACACTCTCATATGCCTCTCTTCTCCATTTTTTTTAATGTTCTTTTCCTTTGTTTTAATTTATTTATAATGTTAATTCCCGGCTAAAAATAACTTCTTGAATATGAAAATATTTGGATTTCAAAGTAATTTCAATCGTAAAAAAAATAGAATTATAATTTTTTTTATTCATGTAAAATAATTTCTCGTGTCGAGATTTTATTATGTGCATTCTCTCTCTCTCTCTTTTCTTGTTCTGTTTGGCAACTCTCGCTTTCTTCTTCAAGTTCTACAATTAAAAGCTGTTTATATATATATATATATACACATATATACATATATATATATATATAAATTATAATGCAGGTTTTCCTTTTTGTTTTCTTTTTTATCTTTACCAGTCAGATCACATGCAATTTGCAAATAGTCCATGAATATTCGATTAATATATAATCATTTTTTCACCATCGAATAATAATATTCCATTGAGGATCAAACGTTTTTGTGGTCACGTATGAAATGCACTTTTTTTTCATTTGCAATAAAAATCATGTTAAGGTAATTGACAACAAAGGTCGGTCCAAAAAAAATTTTGTCCGTAGAACGAAGCCCGAAAATGTAGTTTTATAGAATTCGGGTTCGGGTCGGATCAGACCGGGTTGGATTGACTCCGTTTAAAATTATTGTATTTGTGTGTATTTTTAAATTTTTTTATTCTTTTTAAATTTCATCAGACTCTCTGATGATCAGCAAAAGTTGTAATAACTTCTTCAAAAACCATAATTTGATACTTTACGGAATACCCACTGATCTTTTACGAAACTCTAATATCTGCCCCAAATCTTTTCAAATCATCGAAACAGCCCCAGAAAATGATAATTCTTGTACTTCCGCAGCTAATCTTCTAACGTTTTGTATCCCTAGCCACAAGTTTAAAGAATTTATTTATTTATTTATTTATTTATTTTAATAAATCCTCATTTTTTTTCCTATAAACTTGACGAACATACATCAAATGTTGCACTAGTTGCAGTAATTATCCATTATCGGTTTTCCGACAAAAATGAGACTGTTACCCAAACCCCAAATTATATATTAAAGTTTGTTTATTTTATTATATTATATTATTATTTTTGAAAAAAAAATAAATGGGTGACGAGTCAGAAAAGGACGAACAGTGAATCAGCAAACCAAACAGAAGTTTTCATTCCTCATCCGTAGATGACCAATGAGAAAATATATTTAATAAAATAAAACATAAGTAATAAATAAAACATAAGTAAATAATTTAATTAATATTGTAAAGTAATCTTGAAATTTCCCACACAAATAGTGATTACACCTCACACATGTTTGTCTCTTTCTCCAAAAGTAACATCGCATCTTTTATCATTACTTTGACTAACCGGGGGAGATCCATATTTGATAATTTGACACAATAAAAGCTTTTTTTGGGCACCCATTAAATGATATTAAATAATTATACATTATAATTATTTTTTTGTTAAACCATTATAATTATTTATCACAATAAGTTAACGATCCATCTCTAATGCATGCCATTTTCATCATATATATATATATGTCCAATGTTCGATTTCATTTTGGGGTAAGTACAAGACAAGATGATTAAATGTCATTTTATAGTATTTTTTTTCTTTTGAGAAATAAAAGAAAATTGAAAAAAGGGTTGTAAAGAGATTCCTAAGCATTTCCTTAACTTGAAAGATTGGATTAGTGGATGATTAGTGACATAATTAGCCATTATTTTGTTAATTAATTTAAGCATGCATGTGCTCGTCACCTTTGCTTTCTCATGGACGTGTGAGGGAGGGAGATGCCTTTTATGTCGCATATTCCCGTTCGGTAGATTTCATGATTGTCATCAACATCATTAGAGATTCCATTACGAAATCGAATTATACATAACCGCGCGCGTTCAAACATAATTTGATATAAAAATAGAATGGTTATGATTTGTTTAAAATCGACAAAAACGGAATGTGAATAGAATGTAAAAATAAAATTTAAAATTTAAAATTTCAGAAAATGAGTATTTTTTATTAATAAAATATGGATCGAACCAAATCTAATATAAAAACTATATGTTTATATAATGTTTTTTTAAGGGTGAAACAATGGGATGCAAATATAAAGCAATGTTGAGAGAAAGTTATCAATATTTACAGCTTTTTGCGTCAGCTTCCTTTGTCCTATACCCAAAATATGTATATACACATATATACGTATGTATATATATATATATATATACTTGAACATGATAAATAAATAAAGGGTTTAGTGGAACAACAATATCCTTTCCTCCAAAAGCTTGCTAGAATCTTGGGATGGTTTCGGAATTTGTTACATCATTCCACAAAGTTACTTTGCCCATTCGCATACATTAACTAACAACAAAACATTTTAAAAAAATGTGACATCCCGCGTACCAATTGAGAAAAGTACGGATAAGGAACGACTTCTTGTAGATTTCTAGATAAAAGAAAAGGTACGAGATGAATCGAATGTAATACAATGAAAGAGATTCGAATATTGTAGAATATGAAAACTACCCAATTAAAAAAAAATTAAAGAAATTGGTTGAGTTATTCGTACCAAACAATACTAATCTACCTTTTTGGTTATCTATTTCGATATAATTTTTAAAATTAAACGTGTTTATTGTGAATTAATTTTACAATGAATGACATTTTGGGAAGTCGTTTCTAGGTGTGTGATATTTGTACAATATAGTATATTTTGTTACAATATAAAGTTAATTAATCAAGATAAGAGCAACTCTCTTATCCTATGATAGTGCGATTTCTGCAAAATTTATTTTTCACAAAAACCCAAATTTGGAAATCCTCCGATTCCTTTGCCTTGTACATTTTATTTAAAAGCCCATTATATTGGCCATTCAATTTGCTCACCTAACCTTTGCCTTTGTCTGAATAATGTGAAATGGCAAAAAAAAAAAACATTTAATTCATGTTTTTTTTTTATTTCGGAATTTAATTGAGATTATAGAGTTGGCAATGTGTTGTAAAGAGACAATATACATAATGTTTTTTGGTCCAAATTGATGCTGTCTTTGAGAGAATGTTTGGCAAAAGAAGCCATTACAAGAGGGTTTTATTTTCAACTTTATAGCATAGGGCAATCACATTTTTATTTACCCATAGCTATAGCCAAACCTACCATTAAAATTTTAATTGATGAAATAAAAATAAAACCCTACACCCATAAAAGTGATTAAAAACATTAGCCAAAGACCCCAACTCCAACCGGAAACAAACAAAAAAAAGACAGGCAAAGTAAAGGATCCCTAGCTATCCCTAATTATATATATATATATATATATTTTTTTTTTTTTGTTTAATCCCTAATTATATATTCCTTCCATCCTTTGTCCCCATCTCAAATCTATGTCCTCTATATTTATGTCCCCATGTCCTTGCACTGAAATTCTTACAATCTCTCTCTCTCTCTCTCTCTCTCTCTTCTTGGCAAAATTTTTCTGAAGAATTGCGATGAAGTGTGTTGCAGTTCTGTTTATTCTTGCTTCTCTAGGTACCATTTTCTATGTTTATGTCCTTTCTCTAATCCAAAACCCTTCTCCATGCCAATTATTTCCATTCTAATTACAGCTTTTAAATTTGTCTGCAGAATACGGATTAATGTCTCGAGGAGTTTCATGTTTTGGCGTGAACTACGGTCAGGTCGGCGACAACCTGCCCCCTCCGGACAAAGTTCTCGAGCTCTTGAGCTCGCTGAAGATCGCAAAGACAAGAATCTACGACACGAACCCTCAGGTGCTGACCGCATTCGCCAACTCCAAGATCGAGATCATAGTTACCGTCGAAAACAACATGCTCCCCTCGTTGGTCGACCCTTTAGAAGCTCTCCAATGGGTGAATTCTCGTATCAAACCCTACGTTCCCGCCACCAAGATCAGTGGAATCGCTGTCGGGAACGAGCTCTTCACCGACGATGATTCAAGCCTCATAGGGTAAGCATAATCATTCAAGAATTCGCTTTTCATAAACCCTTTTCACCAATCAGATCATCGATCGATCTATCCTATCTTTTGATTAGGTATCTTGTGCCCGCGATGACGAGCATTCACTCGGCTCTCGTCCAATCGGGATTGGACCGATACATTCAAGTATCGACCCCGAACTCGTTGTCGGTTCTTCAAGAATCATACCCTCCATCCGCAGGCTGCTTCAAATCCGAAGTGGCGAGCATAATGTCGCAGCTCCTTGCTTTCTTGCAAAGCACGAAATCCCCTTTCTGGATAAACGCTTACCCTTACTTCGCCTACAAAGACAGCCCTAGCAAGATCCCGTTAGACTACGTCTTGTTCAACCCCAACACCGGCATGGTCGACCCTTACACGAAGCTTCACTACGACAACATGTTGTACGCGCAAGTCGACGCAGTGATCTTCGTCATTGCGAGATTAGGGTTTGGACGGATCGAAGTGAAAGTGTCGGAAACCGGGTGGCCCTCGAGAGGAGACGAGGACGAGACGGGAGCGACGGTGGAAAACGCCGAGACATATAACAAGAACTTGGTGAGGAGACAGATTCGGAACGAGGGAACGCCGCTGAGACCGAACATGAGGCTTGAGGTTTATCTGTTCGCTTTGTTCAATGAAGATATGAAACCCGGCCCGACATCTGAGAGAAACTATGGGTTATATCAACCTGATGGAACAATGGCTTATGGTGTCGGTCTCATTGGACGTTCGTCGTCTTCTTCTTCTTCAACCTCTTCCATTATTTCGCTTACTTCCTCTGCTTCCATGGTACGTTCTTCCAAATTATACAGAGACTTTTTCCCTCTGTTTCCCAACACTTTTTACTCGTAACGTGTGTATATATGTGTATGTATATATGCCACTTACGAATCATAGAGTGACTTAATTTGCATGGAATTACGTGATAAACTACAGAACCCAACGGTACCAAACCGAAAAATCCGGTATTTTTCTAATTCAAATATACCAAATTTTTCGAACGTTATTAATTTTAGAAAAACCGAATTTTCTGAAATCGATCTGAGCCGAAATTTAGAAAAACCAAATAAACCAAAATATTTTTAAAAAGAACTATTGTTTTTAATAAAAAACCGGAACCGAACCGAAACGAAACCAAAACCGAACCGAATCAAATATAATATAATAATCGATTGATACCTATTCTTATAAAACTAAAAGAAACCGAACTATTCTCGACCTGAACCCGAATCGAATACCGAAACGTCCACATAAACTATATTTTTTTAATGGAAAACACTCGAACTTTGCATAACTTGCGTCATTCTTTTTTTTCAAGATTAATTAATTAATTAATTAATCAGAATAATTTTCATCCATTTGTTTTTTTTTTTTGCAATTTAAACAGGCTATAAAGAAGGAATATCAAGGGTTGGTATATCGGACGTCGGTGTACTTGTTGGCCCTTCACATGCTAATGAGAAGACCATATTAAATGCAAGGGGTTTTTGCAAAAATGTAAATATACGGTCCATTTGGGTTCGTTAATTTTTTTTCCTAATGACAAATTAAATTTAATCAAAGGGTCGTATGATTCTTTGACAATTTTTCAAAAATATTCATTCGGAATCGTGATGTTTTTTTTTTAAAAAAAATTATTTTATAAATCCATTGTTTTATTAGAAAGTTAGAGCCATGTACGTAAAGGAAAAAAAGGGAACATAAATAAATATTATATTTTTCGTTGTTTCGAGTCGGTGAAGAAAAAAAAAACTATAATTTAGTTTCACTTTGGAAAATAAATATATCTGCAGCATTTAAATATTTATACTGTTTCCTGATTGGTTAACGTGAAAGCTCTTTTATTTGTTCCTTTGGACGTGGAATCCATGAACCTGCATACGTTGCTTTTTCTTCGACCGTCAACTTATGATAACATATTATAATTAGTAATCCTATAATATTATACACACACACGCACGATATATATGTGTATATATATTGTATTACATGTATGTATACGCGTATGGCACATCATGTGTGTCATGTTTCCGAAACTTTTAAGAAAAAGTTATGGCAAAAACAACCGAACCATACATAATATTGTTTTTTTTAATTAACGCTATGCGAGTTAAAATTTGATTTTTTGAATATAATTGTTCACTCAATGTGTATATATATATATATATATACACGGGCGGATTTTATCAAAAAAATATATATATATACACACGGGCGGACCCAATGTAGCACAAATGGGTTCACATGACCCATTAATCTAACTAAAAAAATATTAATGTTCTTTACAAATGTTGCAAAATTTTAAATATATTTGCCAAATGTTACAAAATCGTAAATATATTTGCCAATATTAAAATATTAAAAAAAGGGAAAAAACCCTAAAAATTCCTGAACTTGTATTTTGGAGTAATATTAATTCCTAAACTTGTAGAGGTGCCTATTAATTCCCAAACTTGTAAAATTGAACACGTTAAATCCTGAACTTGTTAAACGGTTCCATATTCGTCCACAGCGTTATTTGGTCTCCACTTATTACACTTTATATAATTTCATTCAACAATTGCTTTATTCATATGAAAGTAATGAATAAACATACTTTATTGCAACTAATGTCATTGATCAAATTAAAATTATTGTAGGGATCGAATAATCAGATCCATCCAGTGATGTCACCCCATGCAAGATTGGATCACATCAGTATACATCACAATTATCAATGTATTATGGTCAGATATCTAAGGATGTGGGATGAACGAAATCCTTTCAATGTGAATAAGTTCATTGTCATCAACTTCTTATTAAATGATGAAAATGTACATTCTACTAAACATTTATTTTATTATTTTATCGTTATCAATAGTCTAATCTATTCGACTTACAATATTTTAGGAAAATGTAATTGAAGGAAAAATATTTAAGAATCATGCAAAAATATTTAAATATATAATAAACGAAGAAGATGTATTCCTTATAATGCATTTCAAGGTTCTACCAAATAAAATTAGATACAAGTTAATGGATAATAAATTTCGTATTTATTTTACGAAATATACAACTGTTGAAAAGGTTGTTGTAACTCCTTATAATATTGTCAAAGAGAAATTTCGTATACGTTTATAGAACGAATTATGGGCGTTGGGAGACAAAAAACAAGACCTGTCAGGTATGTGATATTATAAAAATAACAATACCAAAAAAAATACTGGATTTGATACTTAATAGATTTTCCCTCATGTTGCAGATATTATTGGAGTATTACTCGCAATACAATGAACAAATTTACGAATATCGCCGTCAACTCAGAAGATTATTCTCCGTTTAATATAATGGAAGAGTAAGTTTCCCAAATTTGTTTACACCGCAGGCAATGCCATTTTTAAAAACTGTATCTTATTACTTTAATATATATTAACATGTGATTTCAATATAAAACTCAGCAACAATATCATCAAGCTATATGGGATGATGTCGCTGCATAACTCCACTAAAAAATACACAGCTTAAATGTTAAGAAAAATATCGTAGTCGTTACGGGTGTAAAACCAAAGATTATTGACGGTAATTACTTATCAAAAATTATTCTGTAAATATTTGATAAATTAAATATATTTAATGTAACAGGTGTTCTATCGTTCAACCCAACAACGTCCACAAAGATTTAAATATATGAAAAAATAAATATCATCAAAAAATCTCAACAAAGTTAAATACATCATATCACTCTTAAAAATATATTTAATTATATTTTTTAACAAAATCATTTTATTAATTCCTTACAACTAATTTTTTAACAAATATGGAATAAAAACAACACACACTAAACTACTTTTGTATAAAATATATTACAAACAATGTATAAACTATATTACGTATTACATGAAATTGAAATGAGTAAGCTATCATTTCTATGATAAAACTGTCTATTCACATCAAACACACATAAACAACGACACATATAACTATCTATATAATGATTAAAGATAATCTTTACAATAATTTTATATTAATGTATAAACTATATTACGTATTACATGAAATTGAAATGAGTAAGCTATCATTTCTATGATAAAACTGTCTATTCACATCAAACACACATAAACAACGACACATATAACTATCTATATAGGTTTGGCGTGTGACTTGGCGCGCCACGTCGGATCGGTCAACTCGTTTTTTTGACCAAATAACGCTATGGACGAATATGGAACCGTTTAACAAGTTCAGGATTTAACGTGTCCAATTTTTCAAATTTGGGAATTAATAGGCACCTCTACAAGTTTAGGAATTAATATTACTCCAAAATACAAGTTCAGGAATTTTTAGGGTTTTTTCCCTTAAAAAATAATTTTGTCCCTTTTTACATATTTTTCTAGATCTGCATATATGTGTGTGTATATATATTAATATATACACGACAAACATAAAATTGTAGCACATTACACACTTCAGTTTTTTTTTTTTTTTATAACATGATGGTTTCCTGGACCTGGTCCGACTATATCCACTCTAGATATATAGCCTTTGTATATGGAGTATTTTGATCCAGAAATTACATTCATCTCCACCAGTGGAATCGAACTCATGACTTTGAAGATAACTTTATCACCATTGGATCGCCAACTGTTGGGTACACACACTTCAGTTGCTAATGCTCATGAACAACTAGTTACAGGAACGAAATCGTATAATCCTAGAATGATAGGAAATATCATATATTTCAGAGATTTGTATTGCTTTTGTTTATAATAAATATTATTTCTTAAAAAAAAAAGAAATGTTTATTTATTTATAAGGGAAAAAAATAAAATAAAAATATATATAGTAAGAAGGGAAGATATGGACGGTCCCAACTTTATTCCATGGCCATGTTGGAGGCGTCAGCATGTTTGACAAATTAGTCATTCGTTCGTTCGTTCATTCGCCTAAGCCCTTTTCAAAGCCGCTTTCTTTTCTTTCCTTTTCCTCTCTTTTTCAACATTTTTTTCTTCTTCTTCTTTTCGATCTCTTCTTGGTTTTTTCCCCATAAGATATTCTGATTTTTTGTTTTATTTTAAGTTTAAATTTTACAGAATTTGTAAAACTTTACACTCATTCACTTCTATTTTTCTTATATCTATTTGGTTTTCATTTAAAAATTGTTTGATTTTTTTTTATAATCTGGAAGTTCATTGGATATTTGACCTGATTAGGGATGTAAAATGAACCCGGCTCGCGGGGTGGCTCGTGAACCAACCCATATTTTTCCGAGTCGGGCTCAAGTATTTTGAGTCCATAAAAAAACGGACTACACGGGCCAATCCGTCACGAGCCGAACTCGTGGTCAGAAAAAATATTTATTTTTTAAAAATTTTAATATTTGTATATATTTTTATATATACAAATTATATTTTTATTACATATTTAGTTTATTTTGTTTAAAATTTTAATTTTTTTATTATATTTTAGATATTTTTAAAATATTTTAAATATTAAAATTATTTTTAAATATTTTTTAGTATTAAAATTTTATTTTTAAAATTTATATATTTGGTTCGCGGGCCGACTCGTTTGGCTTGCGAGTTAAGACGATTTGGGTTGGACTGATCTATTTTTGGCTCGCTAAAAAACGGGTTGAATTGGGTTGGGCAGAAAATTTTTCAGATCGGGACGGGTTGGATTGGGCCGGACCAACCTGTTTTACACCCTAGACCTGATTACATCTCCTAGATAAAAAAAATATATTTAATTGTTAACAAGGTATTTATTTTCGTTCAAACTCTGCCATTATTTTTTATTTAATTTGGGTTTGTTCCGAATTCATTTAATTTAATTTAATTTTAAAAATTGTATTTCTTAGATTTGTATGGCATTGAAATTCGGATATAATTATGTGGTATTTAGTCTTTTTATAATTAAATTGAAATATGAAATGTTAATCGGCTTCTATATTCGATTGTAATTTCTAAATAACGATGTTAGGATTATATTGGAAAAATCCAATGTTTGGTGTCAAGGGCTTCATAAAAACAATGTATATATCCGAAGTTTGGTGGGAAAAAAAACGTGGAACCAAAACTTGCAATTATACCCGTTTTTTCCATTTTATTATTTTAATTATCATTATTTCTTTAAAAAAAATCATTGATCTTATACAATTTTTCATGGTATATTTGGTCTGTCTATACATTGTTACTTATGAATGAACTATTTTCTTGTCTGTCCTTAAAATGGAAATTCATTTTATTATATATATATATATATATATATATATTGAAGGATAAAGCGGAATGAGATGGGATGATTTACAATAAAAAAAATAAAAAATTTGATTAACAAACAAAAAATTATACAACAATAAAATAGTATTATATTCAACTAATAATAAAATAAAAAAAAGTTTTCACCGACAAAAATCTTATTATATTCAACTAAACTCCACCAAATTATACAATTGAGTCGCCATTTAAAACCAATATTTTATATATATAAGCAGTGATTGCTGACCATTAATTATAACATCTGCAATCTAATATTCTAAAAACAAAATAAAAAAGTTAGAGAAGTGAAAGATTATTGCTACTTAAATATATATACACAGACGGTTCACCACTATATATATGTATATATATATCATTAGGGCGACAAGTCGATCTCATATTAGTTATACGAAGATATCAAAGACCATGACGTACATGGGATTATTGTATCATCTATCTCTCACTTTATTTATATCTTTATTTTAAAAATAATACATTATAATTAGTATGCTTTCTCTTTCTTCAATTTTTTTATATTAAATTGTTGGTCAAGAAAGTTATATATTTTTTTTTCAGAACAGAAACTATGCAATTAAGGGAGAGTCCTCCGGTTAACGATAACTCCATTTTAACTCCCTTATACCAAGAGATTGTGGGTTCGAAACCCAAGTATGGAAATTTTCCTTAAGCCGGTCAGCTTGACGAGACTGGTTTACCTGTTTTTCGTGGTTTGTCGGGTACTACGTAGGGCGGTGAGTTTTCTCAGGTCCGCGATATTGTCCTGATGCCGTTTTCGTCCGGTTTATGGATTAAGAGGCGTTGCGGTGTCTGGTATCTGATCCAAAAAGTTATAGGATATGAGTTTTCTATCGTAACAAAAAAAAAAGAAACTATGTAATTAACTTAATCAAGAAAAACCCTGTAAATCATTTCACCGAATATTTTTTTTTAAAAAAAAAACAAAGTGATGTAATAGAAAATATATGTAAGAAACATAAAATAAAAGAACGTCATGTTGTCGTCCGGAGATTTTGTTTCCTCGTCCGTGTCGGTACGCGATCTTTACACGTCAACGCCACGAGTTTTTCCCTTTTGGGGCTCGAGAAAAGGACATGCTACATATATACATACACGCACGTATTAATATATATATATATATATATATATATATATTTCAGTAATTAGAACGTGTTTTTTAATTTAAGGAAAATCATTTAATTGGGCTCATACAAGTGGAATGGGCCTTATGTACACATTTGGGCCGACGAGTCCATGTCGTCTTGACGCTGTACTTGTACATTTGGGTTCGGTATAAATTGGTTATGAACCGGTTTGAACGGAACCAAACCGAATAATATTTTATAGTAATTTGGTATGAAATATAAAAAAAACTTCAAATTATTGGCAAGTATTTATAAATTTTATATGTAAATATGGAGTTCTATTTCATATTTTAGTATTGATATAATGAAAACGAACCGAATCGGTATTAAAATTAAAACGAATCGATTAACATTCGATTTTATTTCGATATAATTATAATGAAACCAAATAAATCATTTACAAACCGAATAATAAAAAATGGATGTATTTTGGGGAAAAAAAGAAATGAAAATACATATTGGAAAAAATTATCGAACTCCCATATATATATATATACACACATGTACACACACTCGGCTGTCGCAACCGTTTTCCAGATTCATCGGCCACGTGAATTCGTCAGCTTCGCGGAGAGAGAGAGAGAGTCCATGGCGGAGGAAGTGGCACTTGATTTAGAAGAACTCAGGCATCTTCAGACCATTGCCAAGAGGTCCCGAGTTCTCGATCTTATCAGTTCCGAGATTCGCAGCTTGGAGAAGGTAAGTACCATAACTAGTGCTCCAATCCTTCTTCCCCATTTCGATCTTATGTAATATTTTCTCTGTTTCAGACAATGTCTTTTTCGTGCGTACCTTGTCATCATCTGTAGTGATGTTTCTCGATTAAGCTGAATTGGGGGTTTGACGAAGCAAAACTAGGGTTTTGGTTTTTCCTTAGAATGGGGATTGTGATGCCGTATGTCTCAAATTTTGGAAAATTTTCGTTACTGTGGAGTAGTGTCTCTGTTCAGACAGTTTTTGATTGAGCTGAAGAGGGTTTGTCGAATTGGAACTAGGGTTTGGGGTTTTTGAGCGCGGAGAGTGATATCTATGTCTCATATTATGGAAGGTTTTCGTGTTTCCCGAGGGATTTCTGTTCTGTTTCAGACAGTTCTTGGTTACGTTGTCATCTGTAATGGTGTTTCTTGATCAATCTGAACTTTGTTTGGCGAAGCAAAACTAGGGTTTTGGAATAGACCTTTTCAAATGTGGTAAGCTTACTGTAAAGATTGAAATGTAATCAAAACTTTGTTCTCTTCCCTGAAAACGCAATCTTTCTGGTGATTTCGATCATGTCGGTCTCGCTGATTCGATTCTCGTTTCGCTGAAAATTTGATCCGTTTTCGGCTTTCCGCAGCTAAAAGAATCAGCGAGTGGTTTAAGCGCAGCAGCAGAAGCTCCTAAACCGATTTCTTCTTCGGTTAAGGCTATAAACCCATCAGTGAACTATGCACCACTTGCTTCCTTCAGTTGGGATCAGGATAATGAGAAAGTAAAGGTGAAATCTTTTAGGAATTTCTATTCAAGAATACGGCCTCTCTACTCTCGATGGGCAACTCAATTTTCGTTACATTACAGCGAGGCTAATATCGGGTTTTTCACGGGTATTCTTGGCGATATTTAGATATACATTTCTCTGGAAGGGGTTGATCAGGACAAAGTGAAAGCAGAGTTCACGCCGATGTCTTTCGACGTCAAAATCCACGATGTCCAAGGGAAGAATTACCGGTCTGCCGTCCCGAAGTTGAACAAAGAGATCGTGCCCGAGAAATGCAAAGTCCTTGTAAAGCCGAGCAGGGTCGTAGTCACGATGTTCAAGGCCTCGAAAGGCAACTGGCTAGACTTACACCACAAAGAGGATAAGGTAACATAACCGGTTCATTACCGGATCATCCGAGACTCAATACTGAGCCAAATGGCGGAGATTTAATCGTTGAAACTGATGCTTTTTTTTCGTTCTGCAGATGAAACCGAGCTTGGAGAAAGAGAGGGATCCAATGGCTGGAATCATGGACCTAATGAGGGTGAGAAGTGCATATATTTATGCATATGCAAGACAGAAACTTACATCGTCGATGCTCTACCGAATAGATACGGAACCGATACGATGAATGGACAAAGTTTTTACAAGAATTTGTGAAATCTTGTGACAAAGATTCATCAAAATGTATAGAGATATACAGAGAATGATCTGAAAATTCGTTTTTTTTTCGGGTATGGAATGGTGGTTGGGCAGAACATGTACGAGGAAGGGGACGAGGATATGAAGCGGACAATAGCGAAAGCTTGGTCGGAGGCAAGATCTGGCAAAACAGCTGATCCTCTCAAGGGACTGTGAGTGATGATGGATGAATGAATTCACATCCGTTTTCGCTTCTGCTTCTGTAAGTTTTTTTTTTCTTTTCAAAATTCTTCTTTCTTTTTTTTTTGGTGTAAAATTTTGGACCCACAATTAAGATTGAGCATCGGAATCTATGTTTTAAATCATATATATATATATGTGTGTGTGTGTGTGATCCGTTCATAGTATTATCCAATTATTAAAAAATAAAAAATTGCTTATAAATATTTAAATTCTTACAAAAATTTTAGATAAATATATGAATTATAAAACTATCATATAAATATTTAATTTTTTTTTTAAAATTTAATATAAATATCTAAATTTTTTTAAAAAAATAAATAATCCAAAATTCGTTAATGATGATGAACATATTTTTATTTGAAAAATATTTAAATTTTATGTTTATTTAGAAAATTTTAAAAAATATAGATATTTATAATTAAAAGTTAAAGTTTGACAGTGGAGGTATTTATATGAATTTTTTATAAAAATGTAAGTATTTATATGCCATTTTTGTTTATATATATATATATATATATAATACAGCCACTCGGGCATGTTATTTTCACAAGGCCCAACAAATTGAGCTCTGAAGAATCCTAGTTGGGCTGAAAAGCCCATTTATAATTTATATGACTAAGAAAGCCCATACTTGAAACTTAGGCCCATTTATAATTTATAATTTCATTGTAAATATACGTTTTATCGGAGGCGTTTTAATATACATACCTTTTTAGCTTGATGGCCAATATTTATGGATTAAAATTTAATAATTATATTATAAAAATATATAAAAAATTGTATTAACTTACCTAAGACTTCACAAAAATAATAATGGATTGCACACTGTTGGGCCTAAAAGCCCATTTGGTGGAAAAGTTAAACCCTCCACGTGAGGGAGAGGCTTTCCGAAACGTGGCGTTTCACGTTTTAGGGTTAATACCCTAAAGTGTTTGGCATTCGCGAGACACGGTGCTCGAGGTGTGAGAGAGAAAGAGAGGGAGAACGGAGATGGCGAAGGAGAAGGAGGTCTATGCCGACGGAGGAGTTTCTCGGCGTCGCCGGAGCTCGGGATCGAAGAAGGCTCAAGGTAGGTGAGTCGGGATCGGTAAGGCGTCGCGTATTCTGTTCTTTCTCGGTTGTTTCTTGGACACATCGTGGGTGAGTCTCCGGTTTTGTGGAGACCATCGTCTTCGGTTGTTTTTTCCGTTCTGTTCTAGTGGATTCGCCGGCACCGTCCGGCCGAGATGTAGGCCCGAGCTTGCTCGGTAACCGAACTCGTAAAAATCCTCTGTCTTCTTCGATTCTTGAACACACGAGCGTCAGGAGAGAACCGTGAGGGCCGATACACACTTCACAAAGTGGTATCAGAGCCTGGTTGCGATTAGGCATGGGCATTCGGGTCGGGTTAATCGGGTTCGGATAAAACCGACCCGATTAATCGGTTTTCGGTTCGGATCGGTTATTTCAAAAATAACCGATCGGTTTTTGTCATCCCATAACCGATCGGATCGGTTTGGTTCGGGTAAAAACCCGATCGGTTTCGGTTATTTGAATAAACCGAAATTAAATTATAATTAAGGTTTTGGTCTGTCGATATTCATCCCCTTCGAACTCCACCCTGCCATTACCAAAGCCAAGCTCTTCTTCTCCCTCGAGCTCGACTCCATCTCCTCAAGCTCGACTCAATTCAACTCCCTCCTATCCGTCGCCGACGTTCGCCTCTGTCTGCAACTCTCGTTGGCGACCTCCTCTCTGTAACTCTCGCTGGTGGCCTCCTCTCTCTCTCTACATATCTCTTCGCCGGTCTCTTCTTTCTCTCCACCTCTCATCGTCGGTCTCCTCTCTTTCTGCTCCTCTCATCGTCGACTCGTCGGTCGCCCTTCTCTGGTCTGCCTCGCCTCGGTATTTCGTCGCCTCTCTATGACGGTGAGTTTCATTCTTCTTCTCCCTCTTATGTGATTTCTTTCTCTCCTTCTGTCGATTTCATGCTCCTGTCGACAATCGGATCTCGATTGTTAATATGAAATCCTGTGTATTTTTCGATAGCAGAGGCCGAAAGCCAGAGAGCTACCTCGATGATCTTGGACATCGTTCTTGGCATTTGTTCGGTCGGCGTTTTGGTGTATGTGTGTGTGTGTGTCAGTGTGTGTATCTGTGTATGTCTGTTGTGTTGTATATTTTCTGGTAAATGATTCTAGTTTCTCAGTGTGGGACAGGTGTCTATGTGTATCCTTTGTTACAGATGAAAACAAAATTCAGAATTATATTTGGGTATCATTCTTTGTGTCATTTTGTTGGTTGATTTGTGTATATGAGTATCATTTGTTACCTTTGTTAATTTTTAACTAAGGTATATTTTTTTAACAGATGGAAAATCAAAATTCAGAATTAGTTAAAGTCGGACAATCGGTTGGTGACAAAACAAAAGAACCGACTTCAAATTCACATTTACCTCCGAAAGCAAAGAGATAGTTCCTGCGAGATCGAATGTATGGAATCATTTTACCAAACTACCCGATAACCCAAAAAAATGTTCTTACAATTATTATGGTGTTAGAAGGAGCATTTTATGTTTGATTTTTATTTTTGATATGCTACTATTAACGTTAGATTGATTTTGGTTTAAATGACATTATGAATGTTGTTTTTTTTTAGTTTTTCTATAAGACTTTTGTAATCGAATATTTGTTTGGATAAAACCGAACCGAACCCGAACCGAACCGAACCGATTAAGATTATATATCCGATTGGATATGAAAATTCTAAACCCGAACAACTCGAACTCGAAATAACCGAATCCGAATAATCCGATCCGAACCGATCGCCCACCCCTAGTTGCGATCCAGGGAGGTAAGTTCGCCGGAAAAGGCGAGGTAAGTTAGGGTTTCGGTTTCGGTTATGAGTCTGAGTCTGTATGAGCGTTCTAATCTTTAACCGAGTGTGCAAGGCGCAAGATCGGAGCGATATCGGCGCTCGTACAGAGGAGATCTGAAGGTTCCTGGAGTCGGCGACGACAAAGATCGGTGAGCTGAAGTCTCTGTGGAGTCGACTCGGCCAAAGACTTGTTTCGGAATCGGAAACCAGGTGAGTCCTTCGACTCGGTTCTTTATTTTCCGCATTTTTCTCCGATTTGAGTCCGAGTTTCAAAGGAAACTCGGTGGAACTCGGCGGAGAAAGTCCGATTCCGGCGAAACTCGGTCCGAACTCGTCCGAGTTAGGGCTGAGTGGAGGATCGGGTGAGTCAACGTTCGAGTCAACTCGGCAGACTCGGCGGCTAGGGTTTCCGAAATTAAGGTTTCGGATTAAACCCGGTTTACGCCGGTTTAATCGAACTAATTCTCGGTTTAACCCGGTTTGGGTCAATCGAACCTGGTTCGATTCGATCCAAGTCCGGTTATCGGCGGTCAGATCGGGTTTGACCCGGTTCCGTCGGTTCAGACCGGATTCCAGCCGGTTCAGTCCGGCTCAGACCCGGTTCTGGCCGGTTCACTCCGGTTCGGTCAATTCGTTGACCAATTTGGTCAATAGTTGACCGGTTTAGGTCAAATCGGACCGGTTCAGGTCCGGTTTGGGGTCAATTGGACCGGTT